AAGAGGAGTCTCAACACCTTGAAAGCCTTTGAGACTCGATTTGTCAAATGCACGGACTTGGGTCAAGAACACTTGAGATTTGAACCGATAGTGGGACAGATGCTCCAACTTTGATAACACATAAGTTCAGAGATATTAATTATTGGTGAATGGAGAGGATTAGGAGAAACTGACAACTCCGAGTTTTCAGGGACAGAATTTTATCGACTTTTTGTGGAACTTTTGGGAGAACGTCTGACCTTTTTCATTTCAGTCTAGGTTGAACACCTCGTGTTGAAAAATTGATAAACCGAAAAGTTTGAGATTCCATGATGGAAAAATTGATCTCATTTTTTATAAAAAAAATATATCCCGACGATTGATATATTCTTCGATATAAATCTTCCAGGGAGAGAATTATATTAATTCATCATTTGTTGTTGGAATTGTTTATGAAATTTATTGCGAGAAATTTTCATGGGAATCGTACGTCAGTTTTTATCAATTTTATAACAATTTTTATTGAATTTTCCGCCCAGTCACACTATTTCGAACTAAAAAGGTCGAATCGATTTGCATTGATAAATTCGCGTCAGACGATAATTTAAAAACGAATTTCACACATCAATTGTTTTTTTGTTATTTACGTCAATACGAATGTGAAATAAACTTCACAAAAACTACCTTCATCGGGTTCTATTTCATGCCAATGGTTACACATACGGTTCATTGGGTTGAAACTCACGTTTACGGAACTCAATGTTATTCAATTAACAAAAGCGATCCCACTGGAAAAACAATCGGTTTTATTGGAAAATTCTTAGCAATATGAGAGCGCGCACTTTTAATTCATAATTTTTTGCGTAAATTATCATCAAAAATATGGAAATAAAATTCACATTCAAAACCTACCTACATATCTGATACATACGTAAAATATATTTGCGGCAAAAATAATTGCGATATATATATCTCACATATAATTATTAGCACACATATTTTTTGCGTGAGGGATTGCATTTTTGCCGAAAATTATGTGCGCATAATTGATACATGAGTCGACTGTATATAATTTTCGTCTGGAATATATTCTTTCATGATTAACATGACCTCCCCAGGCACGCTATTTTACGAACAATTGGAAAAACCGATTATTAAATAATAAAATTGTAAAAGAAGGAGTAGGCGTAGAAATGACTCGGTACATGGACTCGCTGAGGTGTGCGAACGGTTTGCGTGACACAGTTAGTGCGATTAAATTGGCAGTGAGCGGAACAATGTATGTGCTGTGTGTCTTGTATGTGTTTAGGACATATGTGGAGGGAAACTAGGCGTCAGTTTGTTACAATGTGCGTGATCAAACGTCGTGGAAACGCCGCAACACGGCAAAACCGTCTCCGTCAAATAGCCTGATGGATTTTCACCAACAGAACGGAACGAAAAAGACAATGACGGTTGGCAAAACCAATGGGACATTCTACTGCTCCCCCATTTAGTTAACAATTTTATGGAAAATTGCCATTCGTCAGTCGTTACGATGATTATCACGGGTTCCGATTATTCTTTCGCATTTATCGAGATTGCGCATTTTGTTGATTGTGTAAAAACAATTTTTGGGTGAAGATTTTTTGGTGAGGGCTTTCATTTGAAAAAGGCAAGTGGATGAACTTTCTTTCGAATTGATACATGATGTTGATTATTATTGATCAGAATCACGGTTTGGATAATTCTGAGATATTGAGGAAAAATTGCATAATTTGCATGTTTAAAAGAATGTTTAAAAAATATTAAAAATTTTGATTTAATGGAAAATTTGTGATATTTATAGGAAATAGATAAAAAAATGTAGTGTGGATATTTTTCGAAATGTACGTTTTTTAATTATTATTATGCAATTATTTTTTAATTT